CCTAGGCTGAACCCTGATATTCAATAGGCACTTAATATGTATTTATTCAATGGAGAAGAGACCCCCAAAGATAGCAGCCATCAAAAATAGAGAGAGGGAGGGGGATGCTGTTGCTTAGCAACTGGCAGCCCATGGTTACACGGAGGTCTCATCCCTTCCAACCTCTAGCCAGCTACTGCATCCTGTATTCCGGCCATAGCGGGACCTTCCCCAAAGACTTCAGCCCTGAGTGCTCCTTGAACAGAAGCTGGGCCTGCACCCACTTTACACCAGCACAGTTGGGGATGGGAGAGTTTGATGTGAGTACCTAAGAGAGTCATCCTTTTTCTCACAGGCGGGCTGGTGAGGCAAAACTGATTTGTCAAATAAACCCAGTTTCTCTGGCATCCTTGTATTGCTTTCTACCTCCCTGGATCCAAACACAGAAGAAATAATAATGTTACTAATGGTAATAAGAGGCTACCTTCTAATGAATGCCCACCATCTGCCACCCTCTGTGCCACTTTTAAAACATTGTCTCCCATCCTTATGCTCCATATGTACTGGCAATGAATCCCCCTCCCAACAGGAGAAACTGAGGCTCAGAGGAGGAAAGTATTTTGTCCAAGGTCACAGAGATCAGCAGTGGTGAAGCCAAGATCTGAATTTGGGTGTGCAATGCCAAGGCCCACATACATTCTGCCACTATCTCAGGAGAGAGAGGTGACCGCAGAAGCAGGTTGCCCTCCAGGCATCCTGGGGGACTTTGTCTGCAAGGGAGACCAGGTTCACTCTGATCCTTGTGAGTTTCCAGCTCTAAAGGGCATGGAGGTTAGCAAGGAGAGGGCTGAGGATAAAACAATGTGTGTGTGTGGGCACGCACACACTAATTTGAGAATGATACTAATCGTAATCACAATAATATTAATGATGATCACAAAGGCAATAGTGATAAAAGTAGTCAATATTTCTTGGCACTTACTGCGTTTTCTGCGCTGTGCTGGTCACTTTACCTGAATGAGTACAGACATGTAGAGCAGGCGGTGGTTAAGAGCCAGGCCTCAGAGTCGGGCCGATGGATTTGAAATCCCAGCTCTGCCTCTTTTGACTTTGGGAAAGCCATTTGATTAGTCTGAGGCTCCATGGCCTCATCTGTAAAATGGGTTCAGAATCCTAACCTTGAGGAGCTACTACAGGGATGAAATGTGACCCTGAATGAAAAAGCCCCGGGCCCCACACAGAGGGAGCTGTCAGTAGCCTGCAGCCAGTGTGCAGACGTGTCCCCTGTGGAGGTGTGTGTGTCTGTGACTGTGAGTGTGCGAGTCTGTATTGGTTTGGGGGGCCTGATTGATTTTGGCGAGGGTGACGGTTGTGTGTCTACTGGAGAAAGGGTGTTGAGGGTTGATTGCTTTGTGTTTACATAGAGTGGGCGTGCTCACTAGTTTGGGACTGGAGTTCCTGGGGGCCATTCCGAGCAGCCCCGTACTTGTCACCAGCAGACAGCATCCGTCTTCAGATCTGGGGCCCGCCGTCCAGCTGTGTCTCCTCCTTTCCTTGCCCGGGAGGCCCCCTCGGACACTGTGCCCCTCTCCAGGGAAAGGCTGAAAGAACGGGAAGAAGAGGGAATGGGTCCGAGGAGGTTGGATCCTGACGCTCCTGTTGCTTGGGGTTGTGGGCCGCCAGCGGGAGGGGACTTGGAATTCGTCTGAGCGCTAGGGGGCAGTGTGTCTGTTCCAAAGAAGCCGCGGGGCCGGCGCAGGCGGAGCGCGCACACAGACCCGCGCAGGGGAGCCCACACCGCGGAGGCGTGCCCGCCAGCACATCCACGGGCACAGATGGGCACAGAAAGGGGCACAGGCTCTCACACTCATGGGGAATACAAGATCCACATGAGCAGAGATACAGGCACACGAGGTGCAAGGCCCACAGCCATGGACACACCCCCCCCCCCCCACAGGTATGCAAACACAGAGGCACGCTGAGAGAGAAGCAAGGGGCTGGGGGACAGACAGGGCCACTCACAGAGACACAGCAACGCGGGCGCACATGTGGACACAGACGCGCTCGGATGCCGGACACCCGCACCCGGGCGGAGACATGAACGCAGGCACACGCCTGCACACCCGCACAACGTTCTTCAGTGTTAAGGAAAGGCGACCCAGACACACATCCTGAACAGAAACACAGCCGGGCCCAAACACACCCTGCTTTCAGACACTCACACACCTTGTAGACTTAACTCCTGGAAACGGCCCCAGAAAAATACTCCCACACCATC